TATATATATATATATATATATATATGTGTGTGTGTGTGTGTGTGTGTGTGTGTGTGTGTGTGTGTGTGTGTGTGTATATCTATATGTGTGTATATATATATATCTATATGTGTGTGTGTGTGTGTCTATATATATGTATGTATGTAACAGGGAACCCTAACCCTGTTACCAGAAGGCAGGTCAGCCTCTTTAAGACCAAAACTTTCTGGGCATAGCATGTTGGTAAGGTGGGGGTTAAAAGCTGAGCATGGCCAGCTAGTCAGGTGACCGGAAGGGGGCAGGCCAGAACTATAAAAACCTTGGGCTGGGCAGCAGTAGGTGCCAGCAGCCAGAGGGGAAGGAGTGTGTACAAGAGTGCCACAGAGAGGCTTGGAGAGCAGTCCAGTAGTGGCAGGAGATAAACTACTGAGGACTCCAGGAGAAGTGGCAGCAACCCCAGAAAAAGAACTGTAGCAGCCAGTGGGAAGCAGAAGCATGAACCCCTGAGACAATGTAAGCTGGTGTGCTGCCTTCTTTAATTATATTTTTGGTGGTGGTTATAGCCCATGCACAGACTGCGTATAATTTTTGATTGATTAACCACTGGTGGTTTGGGTGAGGCTGTTGGGGAAGGAGGAGGCCTCATTGGGGCCCCACTACAGCGTAGGACCCCGGCGCCAGAGAGGGTGCAGTGTTTGGGGTATACAGGCCCTAGCACCAGAGAGGGTGCAGTCCTAAAGAGGTCAGGGTGGCCTGGTGCACCTGGGGTGCTGTGGTGTATTTTTTTTTTGGGGCTGGGATAGTGGAGGTTTGAGGCTGTTGCCTGGCTTTGAACTTGCAGCTCCCTGGCTGTGGGGTCAGTGGGTAGGCCTCTGGGCCAGGAAAGCTGGGCTCCAGCTTACAGCAAAAAGAAAAAAAAAAGAGGGTGGGGGGTGCCCATGAGCCTCAAGATCAAAGAGCTAGAGCCCAATGTTCCCTCTAAGGAGTAGTGGTCTGTGAGTGTGCCACTTTGAAAGGGGGAGGCAGGACCAGTGTGGCATGGGACACTTACAAAAGGTAAGCTCCTCACTCTTCACCTGGGGCAGGCAGTGGGGCCTGGGGGGCTGGAGCCTGGGGCCTGCCTGCCCCGAGTAAAGCTCTGCTAGGGGCTGGCTGGAGGCTGGTGCAGGCTCCAGGAAACTACTCTGCTCCCTTGCATAGCCTCTGCGAGTGAGGCGGCATGTGGCATCAGGGCCAGGGAGTGGAGCACTTCCCGGAGCCCGTGCCAGCCCCCACCCCAGCCTCCATCCCTGCTTTGCCTAACACTAGGGAGGAGGTGCTGCCTGCCCTGAGTGAGGCTCCTCTGGCTCCAAGGAACTGCTCTACACTCCCTGGCCCTGATTCCACCTGCGTCCTTGCTCCCCTAGGTGATGCACAGGAGCAGAGCAGTTCCCCAGAGCTGGCGGAGCCCACACCAGCCCCCACTTCCTCCTAGGGGAGGAGCTTACCTTTACTAAGAGTCCCACGCAACAGCCCAGCTCCATTCCCGGTGGGTGCTCGACCAGACTTTCCCTCATGGATGGCCATGCATGTGTGTACCTCAAAGGGAACTCTGCTAGAGACTGGGAGTCAAACCCTATCTGGTGGGTTTAGATGGGGAGGCCTAGCTAGAGAGAGACAGGGGTGAAGGCCCACGGTGGCAGAGAATCCCAACATACAAAATACAATAGGTAGTCTCCTGCTTACAAGAACATCGGTATAGTATTTCTATCAAAATGTGGCTGGGGAGTAGGAAGAGGGACACGAGAAACCTTAAGGGGATTTTGGGCAGCCCACAGAGGTTATGCATAACACAAATGATGATGCTGGGAAGCGCTACGTATATATGTAGCACGTTGTATGTTTTTACATAGCTGTGTGTACACCTCCCCCCCCCCCCCAAGTCTGTAACAAGACGCAAAGGCTGTTTACAGACATGGAAATAAAACCCAACACTTGACTTTCAGCTAGCCTTTCCCCTCCCTGAGTTACTCACAAGGCAGCAGCGCCTGAGGCTTTCTGGCGTCCTATCCTCACCTTTTGCTGGGGGGCACAGTTGTGGCATTTCCTAGACTGTCCCTCCACAAGCAGACCCACTACACCATCTAACCCCAGGATGGTGTAGTTTCAGGTCATACCCCAGGAATAGGAACATCCTCCATCCTCATAGCTCCTACCCTGACCTCCAGGTGTTCTGGGAGCTGCAGACCAAGTGGTGTTGGTTCTCTGGTTCCCTAGGTGTAACTGGCAGCTCAGCTGTTCAGGCCTGCACTTATACTGAGGCTGCCCAGCCCTCCTCCAATCCAAGGGCCCTCTTGCAGTCACGTGACTGCCTAATTGGGCCTCACCACACCTACTGGCTGCTCCATAGCCTGCTCCATCCCCTTAAACTACCAGGCCCCAAAGGTGCCCTGCCACACACCTCCCCTGGCCAGTTGGGCTGTTTCCTGGCCAATGCACTGCTGTGATAGGGAGCTGTCACAAGGCCAGGCATAGGGAATTTGATAAAGAATACTACCAGTACAATTTTTCACAGAAAGTTTGATTTGTGAACAATAAAAAGCATTCTCTATTTTTAACCCATTTTTTAGGAAGAGCATCCTTCAAGAGGATTGGTGCTCTGTTTTGTATTTAAGATGTTCTTCTCTGGCTTCTGCTTCTTTGTGATGGTCCTGATAGAGATACATCAGGATTTCACAGTACTGCTTTGACAACAAGAGTCCTGGTAAGCCAAGGTCTGATCCTACTTGGTGCTCAGTGTTCCTCCAACATCTATGGCAACTGGGGTGCTAAGCTGATCTCAAGTGGCACTTAGCACTTCACAGAACTGAGCCCCTGGGGAGAAGCAACAAGTTAACTTTGAACTGATGTACACGGTTGGCTTTCATGTCTCTTTTAAGAGATCACAGTTAAGAGGCAGAAAAGAGGGATGGCATTTTTCCCTAAGTGTTTAGCTAATTTGCAGGTGGCTTCCAAACTGTCTCCTTTATTTCTGTTTGATTTTAATGCTAATAAAAAAGGAACATGAACAGAAGTCCCTGCATAATAAGCTGGGGGAGGGTAGAGAACATAACTTATGTATCCACATCTGAAACGCAGACAAATTACTTCTAGTTCACTTCTCTATTACACACTGGCATTGTTATGTCACATCAGTAACATAAGGGATTGCTACCTGTTTTTTTTTTTTTTGGTTTGGAAACAGTAATGTGTGCTAGTGCTACTGAAGATTTGCTCCAAAAACTTCCCTGGGAAAGTGATTTGTAGCCTAATGCTCTACCCACACACAGAACAAAAACAAACTGTTATTAAAAAGCACAGCTAATGGCTACTGACCCAGAACTTGCTACTGCAGTGAGATCTCAGTTTGTTTTCTGAAGATAGCAGCTGGTTCTGTGAATCAGAACTACAGACTGTGTTTGAGTCTCAGGCAAAATTTTCTACAAAAGCAAGGTTAGGGAGAGATTCCTGGGGAGAACAGTTGCTTTGAACTGAGAAGGGATGATTGCAGCTGATGCTAGAACTTGGACTAATAGGGACTTGTTTTTGTGGTCAGCAGTAAGATGGAGATATTTCTACTGTAAATTAATGACCAGATAAACAAGTGGTTCTCTGAAAAGCTTAGCAATGAGCGACTTAAGTGCTTCATACATGACCACGGTTATGGTTCCAATAGTTCCACCAAAAAACTTAAATTTACACTTTTTTGGGGAACAGAAATGTGACTTTTTCACTGAGAAATTACTGTAGTTCTATGCATTCAAAACATTATCAATTTCTTACCAAAAACATAGCTTGTCTAGCTGGTTCTCTATAGCTGCTGACAGACATGGGGGAAAAAAACAATCAACCAAACAAAAAAAAAAAGCAGCACTTCCCAGCTTTTTTCTAATAGCTGATTCAATCAACTATTAGATAAAAATGCCAAAAAGCCCTGCTGAAGCGCTTGATCTATACAGGTGACGGGGAGCCACATCAAAATAATGTGATGCCTTTTTTGGACATGGACTGTACGCAGTGTGAGGGAACACCAAGCTGAAAGTGAAGTGTTGGGGGTTTTTTTCCATGTCTGTAAGCAGCTTTTGTGTCCTGTTACAGAAAATGGGTAAAAAAGCAACTATAACTTTTTTAAACCTGAGAATTTTTTTTTTTCCCCTGAAGATTTTGGTCAGTTAATCCAGAGCTGGTCAGGTCATGAACTTGAAAGGTTTTCTTGAAATCTGACCAAAATGCCCAAGGAGATGAGAGCCAAATATTTAACATTTCTATTTACTCTTATTTACCTACCTACCTGTTGAAGACACTTTTGTAATTAATGTTCAAAGTCTGACATTTAGCTCCCAAAATATATTGTTCAAAGATGTCAACCACAGAGGCACCGAAAGTTTATTTTACTGAAAAAACTAGAATCTGCCTGCAATTTGAAAAAAAGTTAAACTTGGACACTTTGAGCCTATTTGAGTGATAACAAATAATCTATGGAGAGATAAGCAAACAAATTCTTACATTTCTGCCAATCATAGATAAGAAAATCATTAAATACTGCCCCAATTCAAGTATTCAATAATTGTGAAATAGCTGGGACAATCAATAACTTATCCTTTATGATGTCCTGGATAACAAAAAACATTCAGCTGTGATGGGGCACAGCATCAGCATAAAGTGATATAATCACTTTTTTTCAGCATACAAAAAAAAAGGAGCACATCAGGTTTGCAAGAGATGGGCTCAAAATCTTTAGTCTCTAAACTGTAAGGTCATACAGGGGGTTCAGTTTTTTCTCTAACTTAAGAGCTCAAGGTTAAACAGACAAAGCAAAGGAGTGCTCCAACTGTCTTTAAAATGGTGGGGAAGAGGAGGGAGGGAGGAGAGAGAGAAACAGACAACATACAACAGTAAAGGGCAAATGACATGTCAAAGAACTAAAAAGGTTGGTTTCTAAGCAACCTGAATCAATCAAAATGGGATCAAATGCTGAAGGGCAGCTAAGTCACCACATGAACCAGAAGAGATGGGTATCAGAACAAAAGTGAGAGCAAAGAACTACCTGGAAGATGCATCACAATGCTAGTTCCAGAGTGCAGAGAAGTGCTAGGCCTAAGAATGATGCATAAGTATGTGTGACATGTGTGACAATGTGTAACCCATTAGGTTAGATAATCATCTTTTATTTAAATGGCAGTGATCACTGTAGTGTCTGAATCATGCTGTGCACTTTGAAAACTTTTTATAGGAGCTTATATATATAAATAAAGTTTTACGTTAAATTACTGTCCATTTAAGTGTGTGTTAAAATTTTCTTAACAAGAGTTGCTAGTTATTATATTCTTGCGTACAACATGCCCCTGAACAAGATATGCACTTTGTTAAAAGGTAAAATAAAGGGGAGGGAGCCTTCCTTGTACATTATTGGGGAGGGGTGGGTAGGGAGGCAGCTGTAGTAGAGAGGAAGACAAATGTTGTGGCTGCTCTGTTAACCTTCTAGTTGAGCCAAACTATTCACCTCCCTGTTTTCTTGAGCTGAGCTGGGTGGGCAGCTAGCAGCACCTTCCAGGTCTGCTGAAGACCCAATCCTAGCCAAGGGTTAAATCACCTGGGAGCCTACCCAACTGATTCAGCAGGAATTGCCCCAGCCCCCAGGGCTCACCTCCATTTTAGAAGTACAACAGAAGCTCCTGCTGAGTCGATAGTGGCTTCTGCAGCATAAATATCTGCTTGGAGGGGGTGGGGGAAAAGAGAAAGTATCAATAGTCGGCACCTAGGGAGCCTTGCACGCTCACTGTGCTTGCCCCTTATGCAGTGCTACTTTCTCTTTTCCCCTGGTAGAGGCTCCTGTGGCAGAAGCTGGTATCACACAGTATCTTAAAACATGCACCCCAATTTCCAGCAGCTGATTTTTGGGGGGGAAAAAAGGTGAGTGTTGTATACAAGGAAATAGGGGATTAAATAGAGATTATAATTAGCATTTTGCAGGGGAACAAATTAAGAGAAGCAGTCTTTATCCTTCCTCTAGGTTATTTAAGCCAAAGGTATCATACCTATAATAGGAGACTCCCTAACAGCCTTAAACATGAATATCCCAAAATTTGCCTGAGGGAGCAGTTCAGAAAGAACTTGTTGAAAAAGGCTGGAAGGGGCAGAGGAAGCAGCTCACAAGTAAATGCAAGTCTGCTGGTTGCAAGCGGGTAGTCTAGATTTCCAATACTTCTGAGAAATGTAGAATTTCATCACTGCTTTCACTGCAGAGGAAAAATGAATCAACTCATCAACACCCAAAAGAGAGATGCCTACACATTACCAAAGTCCCCTCTATTGGTAACCCAGAAATCTTAGAAGATGTATATTCAAGTTATTTAAGTAATTCCATAAGTCACCTTTTTGTTAGTTACTTTTTAAGTTATTTTAATTCAGTATATTTAATTTCTTAAAAGTATTTAGTGTAACATAGGGAAAAAGTAAAGTCTCTTTTTAAAAGACTTGTTTAAATCAAACCATCACAAAATATTCTTCCCTTATCATGGCACAGGTTCAGGATTCTATGGAGTCCCTCATGACCCAATGCAGAGCCAACTAGAGACCACCATGTCACTCGCATCATTTTGGCCAAGACACAAGGGCGAAACTCGCTTGACAGAATAAAAAAAGTGCTTCAGGTCAAGTGCAGCAGGAAAAAAATGTCAAGCCTGTTTTGCTGGAATACGCCATTATTCAAAAGTCCCTGAAGATCAGCCAATCACTTCTCAGAATTGCTTTTGTTATAAATGAGGAAGTCAGAAATATCATGCCATACATTACTGTCATCATATAGGTAAGTCATGGAGGACTGAAGTGAAGGCTGTAGAGTGTGTCGGTGATATTCAAAGAGCCAAAGAATGGTCCCCCAGATAAGAGCAGCCGTGAGGGGGAATGGGTCCCGCTTTGGCTCTGGGATATAACCCTTCTCCACTGCCAGGCGGGAAAAGGCAAACAGGGTGCGAGACAGCAAGTACATGATGATCTGCACAAAGGAAAATGCAAGGAAAGTTAGGTAAGTAACATGGCTAACAACCCTGACCATATTAAGAGACTGGAAAGTTACAATCATGGAATACACAGGGCCAAACATCTTACCATGGTTGTTCTTGACTCTGGCTTACTATGTCAAATTGCCTTTGGTGTCACAATACTAGTTGTTTGTAACTTCCTCATGTGCTTACTAATTCAGTACTCTAATTCAGTTGAGTAAGAGCCTGCACACGATACAGCGGATACTGGAAGATCAGTTTGCAACTCTATTCTGTCCCAAATAGTAGTACTAGAAATAGATGCTGCTGTTAGTAACATGCTTCACAAACTAGAGTTAGCTTATTTAGTGTTCATTTGGTTGGCTTTGCAACTTAATTAAAGAAGACACATATAAATTGGTATAATGTCCTGTAGGAGCCTACTTAGATCAAGTTCACATTAATTATACAGATGTTAACACACACTAGGACACAGCAAATCAGTGAGACAGCTGGGAACACATGCCAGGTCTTCTGGCTCCTAATGCTGTGCATCCTATCCACTAACCAAAGATTCTTCTCTATCAGACTTTGAAGCTAAACTGATTTAAAAGTGTAAAGTGTTCATATACCCAGCAGAATGCTGGGGGTGAGGGGTGGGGTAGGACAGCAGGGCTTTGCAGTATGAAGAACCATTAACAACATCTTTAAAAACAACATTTTTAAAATGTAATTTCTAATCAATGCTACATGCATGGTTTTTGGGGTGTAGGTTGTAGCCGTGTTGATCTAAGGCAGGGGGTCTTAACCTGGGGTCCA